AAAGTGCAAAATGTACAAGACTGTGATTAGACCTGTACTACTATATGGAGCTGAATGCTTGGCAGTTGGAAAGAGGGAAGAGAACTTGATGAGAAGAACTGAAATGAGGATGTTGAGATGGATTCTGCAGATTTCAATGAAGGATAAGATCAGAAATGAAGAAATCCGTAGACGATGTAGGGTGGTGGATGTGGTTGAGAAGATGCGAGAGGCGAGGTTACGGTGGAATGGACATATCATGAGGAGGGACGTTGAGAAAGTAACAAAGAGGGTAATGGAATTTGAGGTGGTTAAACCCTGCCATTTGTCTGTTGAATTTGGTTGATGGAGGGATACTATTGGATTATGCAGTCTTTTCTTTAGTAGAGTGCAGAGATATTTACTTGCTCTTATGATGTACATTTCTCATTTTCTTCTATTGTGAAGTCTTTATCCTACAGTCTTTTCATTCACAAAAGGAAATGTACATTATCCCTTTTGTAGTGAATGCATTTTATTTTAGTTGAAATGCCAAGTGAAAGAGAAGACTACTGCATAATATATCCAACATTTTGTCTGTATGTATATATTTGCTGTAGAAAACAAACACGGTGGGTTTGAATACTCTGTCCTTTCATTGCCATTGATACTATTGTTGTTCACCCAATTGAAGGGTCCTCTGTTTTTGGGAACCATTCTATTAAAATTTAAGGCTGTAGTCCTCTATAACATTAGGTGTCATAGAATAGTTATTTTTTGCCTTATTAAAAGCTAGTGCATGTCTGTTATAGCAGCACCTGGTGGCTTTTCTCTGTCAAAAAGTGTTGCACTTGGTACAGAACTGAAGCATGCAGGGTGTTTAGTAGGCATAGTTGCAGTAGGAGATACTTATCAGCTGCACTTGTTTTGCCTATGCAATCACCCACAGTACTGTATGTAACTCTCTCCTTCTCTTCCCAGCAATAACCTACATGAGGCCACACTCTCTTGTTTAAAGCACCATGTCTCTTCCCGTTAAAAAGAGGAGACACTTTACACTTTAACTCTTCAGTTCACAGAGAAATTTCACCAGAGCCTCTTACTAATAGTTTATGCTAACGCCTAACTTTCTTAACGTGAGAAGTACTACTGTAAGCAAAAAAAGGGGGGTTTTGGAGGGGGGCAGTATTTCTTGCATTGTGAACATGTTCCAGTTAGTGTGATTAAGCATCCATGAAAAACCGGAGGTTTAAAGAAAGAGAATTAGCTCACTGATAGTTTTATGTGGAGGCTGTGAACATTTTAAAAAGTCGTGGTCTTCAAAATGCATTTGGTTTGAAGGCTTTCTGTGTTATGGACAGCATTACAATGCACAATGACCTTCAGATGCATTATGCTCCTCTTCTTTTTATGCTCAGCTACTAAAATTTCCCTTTAGTTGTAAAATTTCATATAAATATGATTTATGATTTCCACGACCAACCAACGCACCACGAGTGCCCCATCGGTCATTTTGGCCAATCATGTACTGCGATATGACGCGTTATGACATAGCCAAATGCCTGCGGTACGTGTTAGTGCAGCGCACTTTGAATGGCTGTATCTGTATGTCTGAGATTTCAAAGCCCATGGCAAGAGCTTGAAAGTTAAATCAGGTTCTTTCAAACCTTGTAGGGTAATTCAGACACCATTCCTTTTTGGGGCAAAGCACTGTATACAGCCATATAGGTCAGAAACAAATGTTTAGAAAACATTGAAAGAACTATATTCCTAAGTATCCTTTCAGCCCTAAAACACAGCCATGCCATCAAAAACTGTCTACATTCAATGGGAATAAAACCCTAACCCTACCTTCGGGTTTTGCTAGGTTAGGGTTAGGGTTCAAATATTTCTCAAAGAATTTAACTTCTGTCCTAAAACACAGCCATGCCATCAAACATTCTCTATGTTTTCTAACAATACTAACCCTAACCCTAGATTTTCTTCAATGTAACCCTCATTTAAACAGAAAATATAACCCAGGGCATCAAAATATTAGTCTGAAAAGACTTAGCAGCCTTGCCACACCAAACAAAATGTATCAACTGTGGTACAATTTCAGACAAGTATTCTGTTATTGGAAATTTCGTATGGAATGTTAGTCTCCATGAGCATGGTATCAGCGTTAAATAGGTTAAGACTCTGGAAAACCCAATACATTTTAGCTACAACTTAAAAAAACACTGCACACAATGCCAAATGCAACAGATTGAGAAATTTAACCATATTCTTTCAAATCTTTTCCTTTTCGGGGATTTGGACAACATTCCCATTTAGGGCAATGCAGTATACAGTATAGAGACATATGCAAGAAAAAAAGTCCAGAGAACATTAAAATATCACGTTTCCTAAATTGCACTTATGTCCTAAAACACAGCCATGCCATCAAACATCCTCTATGTTTTCTAATAACACTAACACTAAACCTAGCTAAAGGTTTGGGTAGTTAGGGTTAGGGTTCAGATTTTCTTCAATGCAACCTAACACTCATTTAAGCAGAAAATATAACCCAGGGCATCGAAATATAAGTCTGAAAAGACTTAGCAGCCTTGCCACACCAAACAAAATGTATCAACTGATGATACAATTTCATTTTTTGACAAGTAAAATGTTATTGGAAATGTCGTGTGGAATGGTGCTCTAAATCAATATGGTATCATGGTTAAATAGGTTAAGAGTCAGCTAGAGTTTAGCTACACCTATTTTAATGCCAGTGCATTCAATGCCAAATGCAACCGTTTGAAAAGTTTAACCACTTTCTTTCAAACATTTGCTTGTCAGGCAATTTAGAAAACATTCCAATTTAGGGCAATGTATTGTATAGAGCCATATACAGTATACAAGAAAAAAATGTGAAGGTAACATTCAAATATCACTTTTCCTAAATTTCACTTCTGTACTAAAACAAAGCCATGCCATCAAACATCCTTTATGTTTTCTAATAATACTAACCCTAACCCTAGCTAAGGGTTTGGGTAGGTTAGGGTTCAAATTTAAGCAGAAAATATAACTCAGGGCATCAAAATATTAGTCTGAAACGACTAAGCAGCTGCCAACCCAAACAAAATGTATCAATTTTTGTACAATTTCATTGTTTTGACAAGTATAATGTTATTGAAAATTTTGTGTGGAATGGTGCTCTCAATGAGCATGGTATCAGGGTTAAATAGGTTAAGAGTCAGCTAGAGTTTAGCTACACCTATTTAAATGCCAGTGCATTCAATGCCAAAAGCAAACGTTTGAAAAGTTTAACCACTTTCTTTCAATCTTTTGCTTTTCGGGCAATTTAGACAACGTTCCCATTTAGGGCAATTCAGTGTACAGAGCCATAAATGGAGGAAAAAAGTCATTGTAACAGGGGGATCTCGGTCACCGTCCGTGGACAATACACCACACACGTCATTCCACTTAAGTTAACACGCGTTCGTGCATGCATGTTTCTGTCAACTAGCTAGCTCGCGACGGTGCACTCTCGGGGTTCGGCTAGCAGTTTTCCCATTCCATACTCGCAAGAACATAACCACATTTTTACTTCGAAATCAGTTTCTGTTACTCGTAGAAAATCGGACACAAACTTTCAAGCATAACGTCATATTTTTGTTTTCTTGTACTTAGCTGTGTGAGAGAGCACTCGGTCTGTTGGTCTGTCTGTCGGTCAGTCAGTGTGCGTCCTGGGCAGGCTGAGTTGCAGCTATGACGACCTCATGCGTCCAAACCCGGACTTTGTTCTCAGCTTGACTTTATATTTTTAAGTGGCGCATGCGCACGTCTTCCTGTATAGGATGTACCGTTTTTATACAATGTTAAAAAGGGTCAAATGGTTTGTTCGTGATTCTTTGTTTTATTGGTACATGCTGTATATTCTATTGCTTGAAAAAATGAATGGATTGTTACGGGGGGAAATTATAAATGTTAGGGTCCGATGGTGGGCAGGGCTATGCTGTACTTATTTAGGAGGCTTCTTCGGTAGGGAAAGGGAGAGGTAGCCGACTCCTGACTTTTAGCTGTCGGAGGAAGTGTTTTTGTATTTTGGGGGGTATTTTTTTTTTGTTTGCATTATATATAATTGTTTTGTTGGTTTGTGGGGAGCACTGTCCAAATAAACCACCACTTTTGCACCTATGTGATAAAAGTTAGGAATACCCAATGAATTTTAGATGTATCTATTAAAATGCCAGTGCATTCAATGTCAAATGCAAGTTTGAAAAGCTTAACCCTTGCACAGATCTTTGTAGGACGCCCACTCCTACGGAGAGTAGGGCCGGTGCTGAATTTTTTCCATTTGTGAACAATCTGCTTGACTGTGGACAGATGGAGGCTCCAGTCTTTAGAAATCCTTTTGTAACCCTTTCTCGTCTTATGAGCTTCTCCAATTCTTCTTCAGAGGTCCTCCGACATCTCTTGATCAGGCCATACTGCACTGAATTCTGTTGTGCAGAGCGCATAACCTAAATTGTGTTTTTTTTATACAACAGGGAAGGTCAGACTCAAAACTGGATGAGGATCAGATCAGATCACATTTTAGGAGCAATTCATTCAGAAATCCAGATTATTCCAAAAGGCTCAACCTTTCTCACAACTGTAAATAATTGCTGGAATGACTGGCTACAAAAAACCCATAATATGAAAAAGACATACAGACGACAAGCAACACACAACACGTCACCACTCTGTCACCATTTTGAGAAATGATTTTTAGTTCAAATTTAATAACCAGTCTGAGAAACTGGGACTGCAGTTCCCCTTTAAGCGATTGTTTCTATCAAGATAAACCTTTGCCACTTCTTTTAACCAGTATCATATGTGTAGTGATCACAATTTTAATATTTTAATCATGGTTTCTTTACTACTTTGTTCCCTAATTTAACATGCGGCACATGCCTACATTTTCTTCCATAAGCAGTTTATTTCTATAGGTGAAAAAATTACAAAACACCTGTACAATAGCATTGTTGTTAAAAGAGGTTTTCAGGCAGTCACTAAAAACACTCAAGAATGCAAAGTACTTTTGAATGGGTTTTATTATCAAAGATCCACTGGTAAAACACATTGAAAACTGTACAGTGACACAAAGCAGAATCTAAATGACATGTTTAAATGTTTGCATTTCATGCCTGGGGAGAAAATCTCCACAGGACCACAAAAAACATTAGACCTGTGCATCAACTAACAGTGAAGCACAGTAAAAAAAGCAAACTATGCAGAGAAGAAAATGAAAAGAAGTAATGCTTTCAGTTATAAGGAGCCAAGAACAACATGAAAATGGACAGCCAAGCTAAACTACTGTAATAAGGCTCAATGTAATAGATTAAAAAAACTCATGACTACGTAACATTAAATGCTTGCATACCCACCTGCCTGAAGTTGGTTTTAAAATATTAAAGTTCTTTACATTCCAAAAACAAGAATCAAGTTTAAATCAGCTCCTGAGAAGGAAAAACTGATCTCACTATAATTAATATTGTATACAAGCCCTGTAAGCACAAAGCAGAAAATGTGCAGTAACCCCTTGACTGATGTTGCTTTTTTCACCTCTCAAAATTTCAGAGGAAAAATCATTAAAATTTCATCACTTACATTTTTAACCATGGCTCTATTAAAGTTATTTTGTCTGGTTTTGTAGTTTATTTTTTAGAAATACAATTTAGGAAAAAACAGCAAAAAAATCCTTTACATAATCCTCACAACATGCACACTTCATTCCATCTACTGAAAATAACTCAACCATATTTACTCTGGAAGGTCCTGAAAGATGTTTTAAAAATAAAAACTGTACATTTTAGATTTAAGACTACTATTCACCAACTGGCTTTCTACAGGTAACAAGTTTATTTCTTGCTACTTTTCAAAAGGAAAAACAAAAAAGTGTAAGGAATGGTACTGATCCATGTCTGCATGGTATGACTACAGTCCACCAGCTGATTATTTTTCAGAACCCTTAGTCACTCATGTCCATATCTTCTTCATGGTGATCATCGCCATTAACTTTGGACTCCTTTCCAGTTTCCCCTGCAGGTTTCTCAGCTGAAGGCTCCTTGGCCTTTGGGGAAGAGGAAACTGCATCTTTCTTGTCTTCTTTCTTGTCTTTTTCACTGTCATAGCCTTGTTCCTCCTCATCATAATCTCTGGTTACCTGATTAAGGACAAGGACTGACATTAAATATATTTACAATAAATCCTATGTATCTCAAACAACTCTATTAAGATCAATTCAATGTTTTATAAGCAATTAAGTTAAATAATATTTTAACAATACTTTTCAGCCATTTCAACTTCTCTTTAAGAAAAACTACTTTAGGTATGTGAAGCTAAACTCATTCCACAACCTATTCTATTCAGTACTGCAGAATTCTATAATAATCTATCAATATTTCTGCAGACCACGTGATTCAACATTATAAAAGAATAAAAACCCATCATACCTCTTTCACTTCTCCCTTATTAGTCATCTCTGCCTGCAACAGTTCCCGTTTAGAGCGCTGTGTTGATTAAACAATTATACATTAACCTTCATTAATCAACTAAATGGTCTGCAGAAATAATGGTATCTTTAAATGATCAAATAAACTTCTGGTTAAAACAATACATCAAGATAGACATCCTAACAAAACAATATCCAGTCCTGATACAAAATTGTAATTTTATCCTACAAATATTCAAGGTAGATCAAACATTGCTGCATCAGTACAGGTATAAACTGAACAGTACTACTACTGCTATTAAGTAAATCTTTAAAAAATATATTCCTCTAGATTTAAAAGGCACATACCTTAACATCACCTTTCTCAGTGTCAGATTTCTTCTCCTTTTCTTTTTCCTTGTCTTTGCTTTTCTTCTTCTTACTGGTTGACCGTTCTCTTTCATCTCTGCTTTTATCTTTGTCTTTCTCCCTTTCTCTGTCACGGTCTCTCTCCCGTTCTCTGTCCTTATCCTTCTTTTTTTCCTTCTTATGCCTAGAAATCAAAGATATACATTCTTTTATTTTCTGGAAGTTATTTTACAGGTGTAGAAATATGTATATAGAATCACACTTTCTTAATACTGATAATTTGGAAACAAGGAAAAACTATCCTCATTTTTTTGTGCAAACAAGTTTTGAACACAGAAACTCCAGAAATAAAGTTTATACTCAGATATTAAATCTTTTCTTGAACTTATGACACTTTATATTTCAGTGCTCCAGACTGCCACACAGCTGTAGCTGGGGACATATCTAACTTTCCACCAATGTCTTGATAGTGTGACTGGAAAAACTTGGTAACTACAAAGTATCCTTCTAGAAAAGGTGACTATAATACGATACCCACCTCCTGGGAGACGGAGACCTAGAAAGTTTTCTCTTGGGTGACCTAGACTTTTTTGGGGAGCGGGTAGCACTGCGACTTCGTCTGCGCCTCCTGTCCATAGCAAAAAGACTAGTTATTTTCTGTAGAGACCCATATAGCAAACAGGAGACTGGCAGCAAAAAGACAGAACTGTTCAACCACATACCTGCTGATGCTTCTAGACCTTCTGGTGGTGCTGTAGCTCTTCGGAGGAGTTTTAGAACGTTTTTTCTCTTTCTCTTCCTTTTTCCTTTCCCTGTAAGTATTCATAAATTATTTTTTTTCCCAAAAAAAGCAAAATTACTTTACCCTGCTACAAAATTTCTACTTAAGTGAAGAAATTGTAGGACAGAAAGTTGTTTCTATTAACAATAAAAAACTAATTACTAAATGACTTACAATAATGTATACTACTAGGAAACACATATCTGATCCAAAAGTTACAAATGACAAAATTCTAAGAACAAAACATACCTGGATTTGCTCCTGGAACGTCGACTCCTATCTCTAGAATGTGACCTCCTTCTCCGAGGACTTTTAGATCTTCTCCTGCTTCTTGATTTTGACCGTGTCCTCCGTCTTGATCTGCTCTTTGAACGTCTATTTAGCAAAATAATACCTTTTTAAGAAAAACGGGACTCCAACTACTAATGCTCTCACCTCAATATCGTTAGTTGTGAGAAATGCCAATTTTATGTGTAGGATAAAACAATGTTCCTGTAATCTATGCTGAGGACTTCATTTTCTAGTCATTAAAGCTCTTAATATATTTTGCATGGAAACAAAAAAACACATTTACTAATTTTGTTACACCTTACCTATTAATAAAAGCTTTATAGAAACAGCTCTTTAACTAACACAGCAGATAAATCAAATTTCAGCAGAATTCATGTTTTTTTAACCGTACCTATGCCTGGAGCGGGATCTGGATCTTCGTCGTCGTGATCTGGACCTAGACCTTGAATGCTTCCTTTTCTCTTCCTTTTTACCTGAAACAGAGATTTCTGATCAACATGTGTAATGCTGGCCTTTTAAACTTCAATAAACTTTTCATACAATTGTATACACTGGGCACAATAAAGCAAGTATAGATTACTTATCACTGTAGTCTTATAAAAAAAAAACCCTCATAACACATCCTTGCTTGCCCCGTGTATGGTACAGAAACAAAGGTGCTTACTCCCAGGCTCAATAGCAGCAGAGATCAATGACTGCGCTTCTCTGACCCGCTTCATTGCTTCTTCTATCTCTTTACTGGAGGCATCAGCCTTTAGAGCAGGATTCAGATTCAGTCCTGCAGCCACATGATTCAACCTGCAAAAGGAACATAATATTTCAGTAAAAATCCATGGAGCATCAGCAGTATGAAACAAAACATAAAAGTTGTTTGCATGAATACTTTCATTTCCATTTAACACTTGACTTGTATGAAACGCAACCTTTTCTAGATATTTTAAAAACCTGACGATTTCTTTTACCTCCTTGAAGGTATCATCACCTTGTCATGGTGAGGAGGCTTGCGTGTTTAAAGGATCTAATTGAGCTATGCCGGCAGGAACACCCAAGCCAGATGGGTCTTTAGCGATGGGTCAGACAGAGTGGTACCCTGGTCCTCCAGGTTGGAGGTTGATCATAGGGTTAACACCCCTATATCGTAAAACACCATGTTATGATAAGCCTCGGATGACAAAAGTAAAGAGATTCTGGAAGAAGGGAATACTATGTGATACATGGAATGTAAGATTACTTTACACACTGGGTATAGTCAGGATCCTGTATGAGGAATTAAAAAGATACAAGCTAGACATTGTGGCCAAGAGAAGGATCACACATACTTATTCAGTGGGGTTTGGAGCAGGCACTTCCGTTTCTAACCGAAGGTAACATTTTAAGATAAGAGATAGAGATGGCCACAGATGAGAGATTATGCCTGATAAGATTAAAAGGAAGATACAACAACCTGCCTATAGTCTCCTATCATGCAGCCACAGAAGACAAAGATGAAGAAGTGAAGGGCATCTTATACGAGATATTAGAAACGATATATGAGGTGATACAATTGAATGAAAACGTTTTCTGGGAGATGCTAATGCCAAGTTAGGCAGGGAACTAGTATGGAAACCATACAAAGGGTTACATAGTCTGCATGACACATCAAATAAAAACGGAATAAACTAATGTACTTTGCTGATGCAAAATAGATATTTCCCGACACAAGAACATCCATAAGATGACTTGGTGCTCCCCAGACCAGGTAACACATAACCAAATTGATCATGTCTTAGTCGATGCAAGACACAGAAGTAAAGGGGAAGATGTCAGAAGTTTAATCGGATCACTTCTAAGTATTTGTCAAGATTCGTCAGAGGATATCATGTTGCAAGAAGAGCAAAAAGGAAGGTAACTTTCGAGTAGACAAATTTGTTGAAGGATAAAAGTAAGGATTAAAGTAATTAAGGACAGCCTGGTGGAAACAATGGAGGAGATTCTGAAACCTGAAAGGGACAGAGCAAAGGGAAGAAGGCACTGGTTCAATAAAGAGTGCAAAGAAATCATAAAGAGGAAAACTATAAGGAAATGGCTTGCAGACAAAAATTACTGAAAAACTTGCAAGGAATATGAATAGATTCGTTAAGAAACCAAAAGGCTCATTGGGAGAGAGAAAAGGAAATATATTGAAAGCAAAATAGAACAGGTCCAAAAACAAGAGAATTCTACCGAACCATGAGATATTTCAAGGAATAGTTGAATAGTGACAAGATCCCCGACAACACACGAGAAGAACAGAGGAGTCGGGATATACAGTCTTAAGTGGATGATCCAAGAGGTAGTGATAAAGAAGATGAAGAAAGGGAAGGCCCCTGGAATTGACAGCATACATACTGAAATACTGCAGGGGGGAGGAGAGTCACTTCATAGACAATCCATTAGTACTGTATGGTGCAGAGCTTTGGACTCACTGAAAAGATGGAGAGTAAACTCATGGGTTTTGAAAACTGTCTTAAGACGATTTTTGGACCAGTGAAAGAAAATGGAAAATGGAGAAGGAGAAACAGAATTAAGAGAGCTTTATAAGGACACTGATATTGTTGATACTGTCAAAGGAAGAAGACTGGAGTGGTATGACCATGTAATGAGAAGAGATCAAGATCTAATAAAAGAAGTAGTAGAAAAGAAAATTGAGGGAAAGAGGCCACGAGGAAGACCTAGAGTAAGATGGCTTGACTCAGTGAAAGAAGATGCCGGAAAGGCAATTGATGTAGATGCCTGGAGATACAAGATGCAATGGAGGAGGCTAGAGGGTGAGGCAATGGATCGGCTTCAGTTCGAGACGCCACCTCAGTAAGAAGACTTTATCCCATTTAAATCTACGCTTTATATTTGCTCTAAAACCTTAACCTTACAAATAATTCTCATAAGAAGTACTTACTTTGGGTCCACAGTGGTCATGAGCTTCAGAATTTGATCTGCAGCCAGAGACTGCAAAACAAAAATTGAATCAACTTAATTCAAATGTTCAGAAATTATAAAATAAATGTTCAGAATTTTAAAACTGAATACCATAGTAACGGGTGCTTTGCAAACCTGAGAGTTCATGTTGGATCCTGGCAAACCCAGTGCAGCCAGAGTAGGGTCAATAGTGGGTGCTCCAAGGGCAGCCAAAGGAACAGCTCCAATCTGACAATTAAATATTAAACAAAACCTAAGAATTTGTCACTTCTGACACTTTCAGGATTTTACATATTTACACATCACTTTTGTCATTACACTGCATCACAAGCTGTATTTTTAAATTTCTCACTGTGAATTGTTCACACATCTCCTCCCATGCTCACATGACTCCCCATGACAGAAATAAATCAAGTAGACTCTTCCTTAAGTAGGTTTCCAAAGCCTTTCAAGAACCAGCACACTCATGAATATTGAACAACTTTTAGCAGTTAAGTCAGATCTGAATCAAATTTAAAAAAACACTTTAAATGGCCAAATGAAACCTGTAATCCAATCTCATTTCAGATGGAGCTCTGAGAAGTAATGTTTTCCACTTTCAATGCGCAGCATCCTTCCATAGGTGGAATACTTGCATTTAAAAAACTTTTCTTCAATAGATACCACTAAAATTTACAAATCATTTATGAGTCAAGATTGAATGCACACATTCCTAAGATGCTAGCAACAGATAAATCAAGAGTAATGCCAGTGACACTATTTAGAAGGTAAATTTTTAACAAAGTAATTTTTGAGGCCTGTCCGCACAAGACAGAGGGTGGTCACGTGGTGCTACAATACGAAACATTTTGGTAGTATGAACAATGCCCGTCAGAATAGAGGCACTAGAACATCTCAAAATTTCAAGAATTTAAAAACCATACCGATGCAAGGGGATTTGGAGTTGGGAGAAGACCTCCCCCTGGCAGCAGCCCTGCAACAGCATTCGCTGGCGCCAACAAAGACAAAGCTTTACTCTCATCAGGAATTACTCCTGCAGAAAAACAAAGCAGCATTAATAAGTGCTCTCCAACAGTAAAAAACACAAACACCCAAAAAAAGAAGACTCGTTCAAGCCAGCTCCTTAGATTTTGAAACTACTGAGTCTTGAACTATACATTTGCACTATAGATAAATTATTTTTCAGCTCTTCATCGTTGACATATGTCCCCTCACTCTACTCATTAGCGCAGGTTACTAATAGAAAATTAAATATCACAATACACACTACTGTGGTTAACACTGCCAAGATTTTATCACCTGTACTTGTTTTTTAAGTCATGAACCAAACGTTAGCAAGCACAGTCGGTTCTCCCGTGGGGTGTGCTCTCAAGTTTCATAAGATGTTTTATGAACAAGCGACTCGCGTCGGCTGCTTCGCTATAAAGCACACAGAAAAATCAAGATACACAAAACAAGAGTTTATGATTTTTGGGGTCAACAGCATGGTACAGTTTATTATGAATTGTATAACTTACCATAAACAGGCGAAAAAATACATTTAACATTAAAACAGATTTATTTTAAAGAATCGTCTCTCTGGGCTTTTGCTGGTTACATCTATGCTGTTCCAGACTCCTAGAAATGCCAAATGGCTTACTATTTCCTTACCTGTTTTAGTAACACGGTAGCTAGGAGAGAAGTTAAGCCACCTTAGAAAACGTAAGCCGACTACTTGTGGCAAAAAGTGATCAAATGCAATACAGACAACATGAGGCTTTTAAGTTCCATCTGCCTGCTTGGAAAACTGGATGATCTCAAAAAGTTAAGGTTTACTGCCAGCAAAAGCCCTGCTTTAATACTAAGTGCCCAATGCCCCCAGAACAGTGAAACCCTGTGAGATGGTCCAAGGCTGTTCATAAACTGGTGACTATTTAGCTTTAGTAAATACTATCTCAACAAAAACACACAACATATAAAGGGCACTTGAGAAACTGGATTAGCTGCAGAAGACAAAACTGTTGGGTGGTATTTTCAGCAGGGCCTGGTAAATAGGATTGGCTGAACCAGGAAAAAGAACTGTAAAACACAACAACAAAAAAAGAAAAGCCACTGTTAAAAAAAGGTACTGAACCCTTCTTTCTGTGCTATGTGGAGTGGATTTTTATCAAAATATTACACAGCAAATATACTGCAAATGTGTTGTGTCTTACGCGTTTCTTAGGTAAAAATTCACTTGTACGCTCTCTGGGGAAAAAATGCATATGTAATGCAGAGAACTTCAATTTCAGCCAATATGCAACTCAGTTTCCATTTTGAGTGCACATCTAGGAAGAGCCCAGAGCCAGTTAATCACGTGAATCATCACCATATTTACTAATCTGGGTGCTGCCAACAATGAAAAGGTGAATGAAAGAGAAAAATATGTTAAAGGAAGGAAAAAAAGTTGCTAACCTCTGACAAGTAACGCTAACCGCAAAACATGCAAAGCGCTCTGCATGTTTTTATGTACTAAAATTGATCTTACCATGCTTCTCCAAAATCTATCAAATATTTCAATGGGACTAAAAATGCATTAGCGAAATTAAAGTATCTCTTACTTTAAAAAACACTGATGCTTTTAGAATTACTAGAATAATAATATGCTATTAAACATGTATATAATAAACCTTATAAGTCTGTCTAGAAACCACTGATATTTAAAATTAGTCAAGAGATTTTGCTTTGAACACTAGGTCTTAGCCAGTATTTGCTTTAAATCTCATTGCACAGTTATAAGAGTGATGACTTTCTATAAATCCTCCTTTTGATTAAAAAGCCCTAAAACACAAAGAAAACAAGAAAGAAGAGAGTTAAGTGTTTACACCAGGAAAACAGAGGGGGGCTTGAATGCTTGCTGGCCTTTTGTAATTGTCTACATTCCCCTGTTCGCTGCAGAGGACCACTTTCAGGCATCAAGGAGGGGGCTCTGCAATTGCCTTCTCCACTACAAAAATCACACACACAAATAACAGAGAGAAAAGTTTAATAGTGATAAACTAAACGGGGAAAAGCATGGTTACACATGAAAGCTAATTCTTGTCCTACCGCGTTGCTGCTCTTTTAGCTTCTCACGATTCTCTTCCAAGCAAACCCAGTTTCGCTCAGACCTTGGTATACTGCATGGAATTCTCACCACAGCTTCACTCAGCAGAAATGACCAGGTGCCATGAAAATCCAAAGGTATTTCCTGATATTAACGCAGGAAGCTCTAAATCCTTACACACCTTCAGGTGCTTTGTTAGACAAAAGGGCACATGCAACAACCTTAAAATATGCTCATTTCTTTCTATGAATCTTCAACACAAAGACTCTGTACAAATGATTTTTGCAAACTAGGAGAATTGCAGCATAGATTTGTGCAATACATTGCCCTATAGTTTATTTTCAACAGTATACCAAGGATCTGCGATATTCAGTATCACATCTTTTCTGTGAGGCCAACATTACAGGGGGTATCATTCATAACCGTGACAAACAAGAGAAGAAACAAAGCACAAACCTTCAGCATAAGGGACGACAATCAAGGCCCGGTCCACGAAGACTGTATTTGTCAAATGCTGAGACACTCCCACCGAGTCAGAGTCATGGAACTTTACAAAACAGACACGTGAAGTCACTGGCAAGGGAGACTCACTGGAAAAAAATACAAATTGGTTGTGCAAGAAAAACAGACCAGTTTGGAAATCTTAACAGATGCCGATATATTCTTATCCTTCCTTAGGCCAAATCAGATCTTTGTCTATAACTTTTAGGAACACAGGCTTTAACCTAGGTCGACTGTATTTCAGAGTCCAAAATGTACCACGCTCTGTATATTAATGCATTTCACTGTTCATGCTCTACTTTTAATTCTGTTTTCCATTGTTTTAAAGTCATACTGATTGGATAGCGTTGGAGGAGATCAATTTTCAATATGCCAGCTGTCACGTTTTAGCCATAAAAGCACCAAGATGATGTCTTGAGCCTCCTACCTTTAACTGCAGTTGCTATGTGGTGCAGCCAGCTGTTATTCGACAGGTGAAAAACAGCAAAAGCACAGAACACATAAGTTAATAACTTTTTCTCTCCCTTGCTTCCCCCACAGACTTTTCTCTCCATAACCACAGTCTAATTTAGTCATCAGTATAATCCACGTCGCTTTTAAAACAAACGGGTTGAGAACAGTTTGCATTACACTGTACAACCCACTTAATTTGTCTTTTCCCAGTGCAAAAATAACGGTTCCATGACTTGAGCTTTTCAAAAGAAATTCGCCGACTACATACGTCGCATAATTTCGAGACGGGACTAAACACGATTACAGAATCATAATGCTTTTCTCTTTTTTTAATTACGCTAGGTAGTCAACCCAGCGACCGACACCGGCAAACTCTCCCTTAAAGAAATCAAGTATATGATGCTCAATTTCTCCCTCTCTTTTGATTGCTGACTTAGCAGCTGCACATCATGTCGGGCGGGAGCGCACGGAGCCATGACTGTAGTTAGAAACCGGGCGGCTGCACCGCGAGTAGGCCGGACGGCCTACACTCCGCGCATATCCTTCCTCGGCCGCGAAACATCAAACAATACTTCCTCCTCTCACGATAGCACAAAATAAAGAAGTAAAGGCACTCTTCAAATAACTGTACCCTTTCTATTTTATACTTGTGTTTTCTTACGCTTCACTTACTCTGGTGGAAACAATTTTAGCTCGTCAATTTTTCCCAGGAATCCGAAGAGTGTCCTCATCTGCTCGGAGGTTGTGCTGGGAGACACGTTCGTCACTTGGATTACGTTCGTGGTGCTATTCATTTTCTTTCACCGCCCTACTCCAACACATTAAAATACAAACAAAAAATATACAGTGCGTCGTTGAACGCCGCGTCGAATGATCGATTTTCTTATTCTTTCCGCCAACTATCCACGTTTCTGGAAGGTTCCTTACGTTATACACTTCACAAGACCACAGCCGCCATTGAGCCACAACAACGGCTACCTTGACTGTAATTACTATCCGTATCCCACAAGCCTTCGCGCGGACCGCATGCGCAGTACGAAGACTCTGCAGTGGAAAGGGAAAGGGGCGTTTTATTCAGTTTATGAGTGACATTGGCGATGTGAAATATTAAGACAAAATTAATACATTCCGCTGCAAACATTAACGCATTATTGAGGGAAATCATGAAAATGTGTCAAAAAGAGTAAAAACAACTTTTCTTAATGTTCTGAAATTCATGGATGAAAAAAAATGTACAAAACAAGGGAAAATAAAAACGAATTCATTTTTGTCAATATACCTTTTCACTCGAGCGAAAGAAAAAAAATGAGAATAATTCATTTAAATGCTTTTAAAATCACGATTAAAGAGAAATGAAAACGAAACATTTATTTTTATTTTTACACCATGTTAAAATGTTCATAAAATAACACTCGCGGTAAACGTGTTTCTAAAAACGGTTTATTTAGAATAAAGTGAATAGACAGACCTTATCTATCACATTGACTTCTATGTGTCAATTTTAGGTTGTTTTGAATTAGGTGATAGTAACGTTTTAGCAGAGTGCATGTATTTGTGTAACATCTGCCTGTTAAACTTCCTAGATTTGAAAGCAAACTGATTTTTTTTCGGATATTAAAAAACACAGGCAATCGGCACCGGCTCCTACGTGCTGATCCTTAATGTCTGAGACAGCATAAATTGAGGCCCAGCGAAGTTGGCGCTTGAAAATTGCGATAGTAACAGCAACAAATGCAGTGGAGTTTAGGAGGAGATTGTTTGAATGAAGTTATCCAAAGTATCACGCGCTGATTTAGCACAGTCCCGATTGGTTTGACGTCGATTTGACTGTTGCTCTGTCAATTTTGGCAGCAATGTCGCGTTTTAAAAGAGGTGGGAAATTTGTAGATTCTAGAGCTGGGTTTAAAACCGACAAAGAAGAACCCTCTGTTCCTTGCGGGTTATTAAAATCGGCCAGAAAAAGCGGACAGCTTAACCTGTCAGGACGAGGACTGACCGAAGGTAAGGGAAACGAGATGGACGATGGCTGTCATATCCAGCTTTTGTGCGCTGGAATCGGTAACGCTCATTTTTAACTTTAATAAATAACCAGCGACCTGGATTAATACGTCACAGACACGCGAAGTTACATTTTTGAAAACAAAATACTGTTGACGTTTTAGTTGTTAAAATAAACATGGTTTTATATTTTGAAAATAATACCTTCTGTGTTTTGAAAGCACAGTGGTCAATACTTTACTTCCAGTACAATTTCTGGTATTCCTTATTCTCTAATTCACGTCTGCGCACAGAGAATTACTGGGATCGGTTTTGCACAGAACACGTTTTTAGCCTTTGTAAAAAATTATTTATAATAAGTCCACGATTGCAGGAGACAGTGGGTATTCCACTTAAACAGTGTAGTTTCTACTGTTTGTAATGGCAGTATTGTCTGTATGGGTCCCAGTCCTGCAATTTGCTGATGCAAAGTGCTTTTTGTTTGCACATGAGCTGTAGAATTCTAAACTCACTGAAGCTTTGTTAGTATTTTATAAAATATCCCAGTAAGTAAGGCATTACAACAAATTAATCTTGATGGGAAGATGGGGGAAAGATGCACATCCATGCGTCAGTGTCTGATAGGAAGAGTAAGAGTCTTGATGGTGCAATGATACACAAAGATACACTTGTGATGTTCATATTGCATTTAAAAAAGGAATACAGAGTCAAATGCAACACCAAGATTTCTACCTTCCACCAAGGCTTTGATTTCAGCACCATCAATAATGACATTGACATGTCATTAACTTTGCTAAACTGATGTTGGGAGAGCCTGTAAATCTACATAAATTTAGCATAGTGCTGAAACATCTTCATGAAGTCCTTGATTACTTGGTGAGAATAATCTCATTAAGAGACAACATATAGAGACTAAAGTTAAGGTTCCAGCAAATAACCCAGTTGAAGACCCTGGGTGAGTGGGACAACAGTTTAAATTAGACAAAGTTTACAAATTGCCCTCTAATAAATCAGTACTGTGCCACTGATCTCTAGGAAATTCTCCATGTGAACAAAAAGAATTGTGTGCGATTTACGGTATAAGAGATTCATTAAGGAAGTTGATAATAAATGGACAAGGAGCAGAGTAGGCTAGCTTTGTGTAGGGCCAAAATAACAAGTACTAAGACTAGGTATGGGTACTAGGTATAATTTTAGCCATTAATTCAGTTTTGTAAGCAGCATTAACAACAGCAATACGAGAGAAAAGTTGACAACCACATTTTTAGGCTGCCTTAAAGTTATCTTAAGATTTTTAAATATTAAAATCACACACATTTTTACATTGGCAGTACCCCAGAGCGTCTGGCGCCTGAATGTAGACACACCAGAGGAAGCTCAACAGAACCTTTCTTTCGGAGGTGCTGATCGTTGGTGGGAGCAGACGGACCTCATTAAACTTTTTCTCTCATCAAACAAGCTCCAGAGCCTCTCGGAGGATATTCACTTGTTACCGGCTCTCCTGGTTTTGGACGTGGGTATATCTTGCATGTAGAATTTCACCATTTTCAAGTGGAATTAGGTAAAGAGTCAATGTGAGAACTTGTCTGATAACACCACACTTTCTTCAAAAATGAGAACCTCTTTTTCTAAAATGGTGTAATATAGCACTAACGTTCCTGATTTATTTTTCCCTATGACTTCTGCACTTTCATATTTGGAGAAAAAAATAAACTGATGTATAGCTAATTTGTTTGTCACCTTTTCTTTTGTCTGTTTTTATAAGGTCCATGACAATCAGCTTACCTCTTTACCCAAGTCCATTGGAGCGTTGGAAAACCTCCAGAAGCTTAATCTAAGGTATTTGATACATAAGACCAATTGCCTTCTTAATGTGTAAAAAAAATATGATTCTCATGCTTAACTACAAAATGATGAAAGAATAATTGATCTAGAAAAACATTCTTAAGTGAATAGTTCTCAGATTAGAGAACTATTATTAGACTTTGTCCCTTTAGTTGTTAAGGGACAGCACTTTAATGCAAATATCCAGGCTTCAGATTGCTGTGCACTGCAGGATTTTAAACAGTTTGACCATATTGTCATTTATTTGATTTATAATTTTACCTTGAAAATACTATTAGGTAGATTAACCATAAATGGGAAATAACCTTTTATATGAAAATTCAATGCATGGAATAAAAGATTACTTCAAAAAAGGAAGGTTGTTGATTATTTTCTAGTTTACGATCACAGTGTGCTTTATTTTATAGGTGTTTTTGCCTGCTGCAACATTTCACACTGGATTTAGTTTAACAATTCAAGCATCCTTTAAATTCTTGAACATTAAAACTTGCCTCTTATAGACCACTTTCTGAAATTCTGCAGCTACACAAAGCAAAAAACACATGCTGAATCTTTTAGTAAGGCTGGGGAAACTGTCCCCCAAATTCTGCAGACTTTTACTGTGTGATTTCAGAACACTACATCATGGAAATGTACTGCTGGATGCCATTGTGTGATTGTCTTCCACAATGGAATAGTGTTGAAGCATTTGGAACGGCACTACATTTATAAGGAAATTTAAACGTTAGGCTGTTTTGGGTGATGGATGACTTCTATGGAGATCTTTTTGTGCAATAGAAAATGCCCTTTTTTAATGGGCGAGCAACTCACTGTTTTACTCTTGCAGCCACAATAAGCTGAAAGAGTTACCAGAAGAGCTGTGGAATCTGAAGACACTGAGGAGCCTGCATCTGCAACAGAATGAGCTAGAGCAGATTGCAGAGGGCGTGGGTCAACTTGACAATCTGGATGATCTTGTGAGTCATGTTTTTTTTGTGGGAAGGCAGGTATATCTGAAAAGGGAAAGATTTATGAAGGCAGACCCAAGCAGCATTCATGTGTTCTGTATCACAATTCCAAATATTTGAAATGAAAACAATGCATGTGTATCAATGTTTGTAATGTTAACATTTTTACTTTTGTTCAACCCCCCAAAAAAAAGCAATGATGACTTCAGTTGCTCTTATGCATTTTATAGAAAAAACAGATTATACAGATTTCCTTCCATTTCCAGCTATATCCATTGAAAGAAAACTTTAAATGAAAGGTAAAAATTGTGATTTTACTACTGTGCTTTGTGCAATTCCACAGGACCTCTCCAATAACCAGCTGACAGGCATTCCTAACAGCTTTGGCAACTTGAGAAACCTGGTTAAACTAAACCTGTCTTACAACAAACTGAGGAGCCTTCCTCCAGCTATCAGTTCCATGAAGAGTAAGACCTTACATTTTCAAGGTTTTATTGTGTTTCTGGAATGTAGAAAATAAAGCAGATGTTTAGAGAGCATTAAAATTAACATTTTTTTCATTCAACACACTGTCTTACGAGAAAAGAAATTCAAATTTAAACTTAGAAAGGTGCCTTAGTTTAAAACCTAGCTGTTTTTTCTACAGATTTTAGCAGCATAGAGGATTCATTTTGATGTACTGTATCTTATTGTTGATGAGTAAGATGCACTAAAATGCCTTTTCTATGAAACATACTGTAATGTGTGCATGTCTAAACTTCAACAAATGTTCGTCTTTTGTATTGGTCACACAAGGCTAAGGATTGTGTTGCATGGTCTTGGAGGTATGAGAAGTTCTCAGTTCTATGAGAATGTGCAAAATTCAAATAGGTTATTGGTCTACACAGAAAGCTGAATTCACTAAGTGAACAAAAAGTTAGTGAACAAAAGTTACTTTAAAGGTCAGTGCTTAGGGTTAGATCAGAGAGATACATTTAAAGGATGAGTTTCCATTTAGCAAATGTTGACAGAAGACCTAATTGTTAACCTGACCCCACACCCATTGATGAGAGAGCTGAATTGACATTTATGATGTTCAAACCATTTTGAAGTGTCCTTATGCATTGAAGAATCTGCAGACTTTATTTTCTAGTTTTCAAAATATTCACAGCATCAGTCATTGCCATTAATACTACAGGGTGGAGTAGGAATATTGTTGGCAGTTCTCTGCTAGAAACATAAATAAACAATGAGAAAATAACAATTAAGGAGCTGGCAAGCTTAAGGGACTTGAGACCATATTGGGCACTACCTGTGTAAACAAGTTCATCTTTCTTGGGGTATATTTCTGCAGGTTTGAAATTGTTAGACTGCACTCACAACCAGCTGGAAACTGTCCCTTCGGTCCTGGCACAGATGGCCTCTTTAGAACAACTCTACCTGAGACACAATAAACTCCGCTATCTTCCTGAGCTTCCCTCCTGCAAACTACTCAAGGTATGTTTAATGCAGCTAGCTACTACCATTATTTTAGCTGGATTCTCAAAGCTTTGTGCAAGGGTACTGTCTCTCTTATTACTCTTGGGCACTTTCTAACCTGTATTGGAATTTTGTACTTAAAAAACATTCTTTAAAATAATGTTTTTATGTATTTTTACAAATTAATACTTGTAGTTTATTTTACAGTACATTGTGGTGTACTGAGGCAGTATTAATACAGCTAGTGACAATAGCTTGGGGCTTGTAGACCAGTCGCTCAGCAGGTGGTAAGAAAGGCATTCTCTGCTACTACACAAAAGCTGTTGATTAATGGAGCATATATTAAAACTGGAAATCAAATGAGGAAGGGGGGATAATCTGCAGAATTGGCAGTTCTAAATTATATGTAATTTAAAAAATGGGATTTAAAATGATAAGAGAATAAACTCTTGGAGTGGAGCACGCTCTTTTTTTATGCTCTCTACCTGTTTTTTATAACTCTGATGCGAGTATGGCTTTGCTACAAGCACCTGATTGCAAAAGGTTTCTTTTTTTAACTTTCTGCTTCAGGAGCTCCACGTTGGTTACAATCAGATTGAGGTGCTTGGACCAGAGCATCTGAAGCACCTCAGTTCTATCAGTGTGCTGGAGCTGAGGGACAACAAGCTGAAAGCCCTGCCTGATGAGATTGCACTACTCGAGGGTTTGGAGAGGCTGGAGCTCACCAATAATGACATCAGCAGGTGCTGTGCAGACTAGTCCTGGAGTTGATTAGAAATGGGTGACGCACAGAGATGCTTTTAACTGCTGTAAAGTGATGGTTTGGCAGTGTCGGGCTCAATAATCCTTCCTACACCTTGTTCAAAAGTCCACTTGCCATATAAATTACCTCTCAAGTGTTGTCAAAGCAGCCAGCAGAAGACACTCAAACTGTGGTGCACGGAAAATAAGGGAAAAATCAATCTCCTACAAACAAACGCATTCACAGGTAATACATTAAATGTAGATTTAATTCTGTACCCCATAAGTGGAAGACATCTGGTAACATATTCAGAAGAATGTGAACCTTAGTAGTTCAGTGTTCTCAAGATTTTAGTTAATTTCAAGATGTCGATATCTGTTAAGCAAGTTCAAGCTTTTGTCTGGTGTATTACAGCATTTGAACAAAGTGAGTTTTTTCATTAATATTTAATAGCTCATTGTAGCAGTACGAGATGATCATTTTGCATTGAGTGGTGCATTTCTGTGTCTGTTGTTGACTCAGTCTGCCATATACTCTTGGTAACCTGCCCAAGATAAAGATCCTGGCTCTGGATGGAAACCCTTTGAGGACAATCCGCAGAGATCTTCTAAGTGTGAGTGGAGAGAACCATTCCATTGCCCTGTAACACCCCTTACCAGCAATTCTGGCATTACCCTCTTAAATAGTCTGTTCAAGACTTAAGACATCCAGTTTCTTTAGCATGTCAGTGTGGTGAATTACTTTGTGCTCAGGAATACATCTAGTTTCTGGTACACGATTGAGTCCAGAGCAACAATATATTTTGTTTTAGGGCAATACATGTACATGCTATTCTGTCTGGTACAGTATTAATTATGGTTCTTGATTTAAAGCATTTTTGTGTCATTCTGATGCTTTTTCTTCCCCACATTGTCATCTGATGCATATAGATTAGAAACGTACAGTAATGCTGCAGCTGTTTGTGTTACATTCCATTAGCAGGAATTTGCCTAAACATGTACAGTAGCTTACACTTCATATTATTCATATTTATCTGTGAAAAGGGTACTTTTACTGAAAAACAGGACTATTTGTTTGGTCATTTTGGACCCACCAGTTCTTTTGTGATGTTTTGTTTGCTTTCAGAAAGGGACCCAGGAGCTTCTGAAATATTTGAGAAGTCGAGTCCAAGGTACACCTGTTTGTAAGGATATGTATTTTAAAAGTTAACATGTTTGTCCTGCTCTCCCATTAACTTTAACTTTATTTGGTATTTAGAGGTGCCAGATGGAAGAGACCAAGACCCACCCAAGACAGCGATGACTCTTCCAAGTCAAGCCAGGGTGAATGTGCATGCCATAAAAACCTTGAAGACGCTGGAGTACAGGTAAACATCACAGTCCCACAGGTTTGGCACTGTTGTTCAAGCTGCCTGGCAGAACAGCCCGTGTACAGTCACTTCCCTGGCATTTAGAGGCTTTTGCTAGAGTAGGTGACCTTGAGTAAAACGTTGCCTGTTGGAAATGAAATATATTTCACTACTCCTGTTGCGTGTTCCTAACCAAACTTCTGTCATAAAATGTGAAGTGACAACTTGGGAAGAAAGGAGAGGAAGCCTTTCAGCACCTCTAACTTCTTTGCTTATTAATTCTTGTAATAATAAAGATGTTTAATACCTTTTTTTTAATTTTGGATTGTAGTGGCAAACAGGAGGCATCTATCCCAGATGAGGTGTTTGATGCAGTTGTCAGCGATCCTGTTGTCAGTGTTAATTTCAGCAAAAATCAGCTGACTGCGATCCCTGCCAGGTACTCCGTTTTTGTCTCCTAATGCATTTTGGTGCCATCAATACAATTACAGACTCAAAATATGACATAGCTTGTATGAGAATGAAACAACCACTTAAATGTTCTTCCCAATTTACCAGTCCATCAGGTCAGAATCGGTAAGAAGTTCACAGAGAAAAAAAGGTTGGAAATTGCTGTCACAATTAACGTCTGCAATTAAACACTGCATTTATTGCAGTAAATTGCCAGCCTTAGGATTTTATATTGGAGACAATGTTTAACTGTACACTACTGTAGGTGTAATTTTTTCATTTGATAAACAAGAACAAACTTATCTTTCAGTAGTTATTTTAAGTAAAGTTAAAAGTGACTTCCAGAGGTTTTTCAAGAAAATGCATTTTATAACAGTGAAACAAGTATCTTCTTAATTATAATATGCAACATCCATACATTTTAGATTAAAAAAGAAGGTCTGAATCTCTATTCACTGTGACTAAGCTGCGTTTGGAATTACAAAAGGATTCTCCTTAATAGCAGGACAAAGTAGGACTTCTTTTGGCAGCTTTCACAGTAATTCTATCTACTGCAATTTGAATGAATCACCAATGGTTACATCTTTAACTTTAAAGCAAGAACAAAGTACTGAATATGTTACCACATCAGATCATTAAACATAAAATTACTGTATATCAAATTAATTCTCATAATTAAACTAGAACATAAGACTGAGTCAGGGAATATACAGTGCTTTCAAGATAAAACATGCCTTGCTAGGTATTCAAGGGATTAATAAAATCCAAGAATTTAAGTAACTAAACCAGTTAATAAATATATTTTAGCAAATGTTTTGCCACACAAAAAGTTACAAGTTTGAGAATTTATATTGGAAGTTCCAAAACTCTAAAAATTCAATAAGACTTCTACAACTTCCTAAGTGCTTAACATTGAAAACTCTTGATGCGTCTCAATATCCTAAAACAGTCTTATTTTGTTTTTAAAGTTGAATAGCACTTCTACAGACACTGACGTGATAAAAGCAGATTAAGACTTAAATCTTGTAGTTTTGTGTAGAATTACTCCAACTTATTGTAGCCTAATAATGTATTTATTTCCTCTTAAGCAAATTCATATTTTTCTTTGTTTTTAGGATCGTAGAACTGAAAACAACAATTTCCGATACAAACTTGGGATTCAATAAGATCACCTCTATTTCCTTGGAATTCTGCATGCTTCAGCAGCTGGTAAACATAGACCTCAGGTAGTGGCATTTAAACCTATAAATATACAATTAGAAACCCGGGAGTATAAAAGGGGTGTGAAACTACAGCAGTATTTTTTAAAACTATAAATCGTCCATTGCTTTGAATTCAAAGTAACTCCGTAGGACCAGAGCATAAACAGCCATTCAGAGAACATCAGTATATCAACAATACATATAATGTATTCCACAATAGGCATGACTGGCTCAGGCTGACCTGTACTAAGACAATTGTAAGTTTAGTTTTCTACACCAAGTCATCTTAGTAGGAAGGTCCTCAACCTGAAATTGAAGTGATATCTGAAAAAGACTGCACACAGTATTGAGGAAGACTAATATCGTCAATTAATTTAGTTTTTGCTCTGCACCATAGAGGAAGACATGCTGCTCCTTTCTTAGTCAGGATCATTTGAAAAGTATAGCTTTCATACTGAAAAAACAGCCCCTGTCTGTTGGATCCCTGTTCTTTTTGGTATTAAATCACTCTTGTCAACACTTTAGACATCACATATGATTCTTCTGTTGCAATAACAGGAAGAAGGGGAAAACCATTTATTAAATAGTTGGCACATAATGTAACACCTATGTTTCATTCGCATATAGAATAATCACCATGTCTTTTCTGGATTCATAAGAACTCAGGAGAATCACCTAGACAGATATTATCTTTGGAAATTCCTAATACTTAACTTTGTCTTTGTTTTAGAAACAACCTTTTGACATCACTTCCTGCAGAGCTGGAAGCCTTGACAAAACTGAGGAGTATTATACTTTCCTTTAACAGGTTAGTTGTTGACTGAGTGTTACACAACATAGAAGAAGATTGTGTTAAAATGTTTAAGGAAAAGTAAGACAGACTAGATTTGTAAAATTGCACTCTTTTAGTCTTTCTACATCTTTCCTAAAAAAAAAAACTACTAGTAAAATTCCCTACAGCTGAGAAAATGAATATCCCATTACAAGTCTCGTTAACCAAAGTCAGGCCTTTGGTGTAGTCTTAGAGCAGTTATTGCTTCTAGTTATTCATAATTGTAATGGATTACAGTGGAATAAGTGTGGAAAGTCTTTATGTAGACTACCATGATAGATTGTTTTGTTATTAACAAGACTGCCAGCTTAAACAAAATCTTTCAGTTGGCTGTTGTATTACTGAAACATTGTGCCAGTATTAAGCTTTGAGAGCCTGACTTTAATACTTAAAATAATTTCATGTTTTGTTTGATTGTGCTACAGGTCATGTGTTCTGCAGCAATATTAAAAATGCACTGTATAATGAAGCCTTAATTATTACTGAAGAAGTTAATTATATGGGGTGCTTAATTTGCTCTGGGATGTACTGCAGGAACTTCAATCACTTTGACTACTTAATGGCTAATGACTTGTATAATGACAGTAGACATTTTAATCGCAGGTTTAAGTTGTTTCCTGAAGTGCTTTATGAAATTCCTACACTGGAGACAATACTAATCAGCAACAACCAGGTGGGAGCTATTGACCCAATTCAGCTGAGAAGACTGGAGAAATTGTCTACGCTGGACTTGCAGAACAACGATATCATGCAAGTGCCTCCAGAGCTTGGCAACTGCACCAGCCTTAGGTACAGATAAACTGGGATTGGTGGAGTCTACTATAGACCTTGTTGGTTGAATAGATTCTACACTAGAAGTTCAGAAGGAAGTTAGAGTTTTTTCACTTTACCTAGTCAGTTAATTGGGTTTTCTATTGGTAAAGGATTGTATTTGTGCCCCAAGTGGAGCTTGAGCCAATTTTTGAAACAATGTTAAAGTAGTTTAACAATGTTATGCAATTGTGATTTGATTGTCTCTGTGTCTGTTATAAATCAAAGGGTACTCGCAGTAATGAAGAAACAGTTCAGTCTGGACAGCAGTGATTATATACACTCAGTTCTTTAGTTATCCATTTTCTAGAGTCGGTAACAAAATATTGAAATCCATTTTTTTACTACAATGGAGTTCTTAATAGAATTCATATTTGGAGATGGTTGAGGTTTTATTTTCTAAAGTGCTGCCAATATGCAATATATTTTGTTTCACAGGGCACTGATGCTAGATGGGAATCCATTTCGCAACCCAAGAGCAGCAATTGTTGCACGAGGAACAGATGCACTTCTTGAATACCTTAGAAGCAGAATTCCTACCTAAAGAGTGTCAGTGTTATTTTCACAGCTGCATTGTGTACAAAGAATACATCTGTATTCCTGTTTCGAGCCTCCTGATAATTTCAGTTGAAAAATATGAGCTGTTCTGGGATCAAAAAGAAGTGGTACATTAATGTTGCTACAAAGCTTTCTGTAACAAACTATTTGACATTAATCAGATAAGCAACTGCAACCATAGACATTATGGACAATACTATCCCTATCAAGAATAGAAAGAATCTGTAATTCATCAGTAAGAATGTTGTTAAACTGTACCATATTTTTAACTCTTATGAATTACAAGGGACGTGTGTAAACCTAGAAAAGACATTTAGTATAGTTCAGTTATACACACTGTATGACTAAATATATGCATCTGCGCATTCTCACGTTTGTGATCTTGATCTAAAATGAAAAATGTTAGGAGGAAAGTTTTTACAAACAGCTTTCCCATTATTTAATTTTTTCCCCTCAATAGAAGAACCATTATGCATGCATAATGTGCTGTGGGATTCTGAGTAATTCCAACATATTACTTTTCTTTCTCCCTTTAAAAAAGCGTCTCCTCTTGCTGACATTCTGGATGTCAGGATCTCAGCTGTGGAGTTGTTAAAGGACAGTGCTTTAGTGCCAATATTATGATGTTAATGAATTGCATTAATGAATCACAAAGGCCAAATAGGACATGCACTGAATAAAGAAAACTGCAGATGAAATAATGGGAAATGAATAGGGAAAAAAGCTCCAAACTAAACACAGTGAGGCTCTCAAACACTCAAAAGACTCTTCTGAGAGCACGCTAGGAAAAGACACTGCCATTGCCTTGTAATAACTATTTCTTCTGTTCTGAAAGTTTTTTATAGCTTTTGAAGTGAAACGCATCTGATGCAGTTTAACTCACAACACAAAGATTAAATATTAATTTTACTTTAAAATTACATTTGCTTCTAAAATTTGAGTACATTTTTCTACTAATTTATGACTCGCTGCCAATTTTCTTACCAATTTTTAGTTTTTCTACAGGGTGATGTTTTTCTGTGGACCATTTTGTAACGTTTCACATCAGGATTTCAATTTTTAAAAGTAATTGTTTTAAGATAATTACGTAGATTGAAACTAAATGTACCACTTCTACATAAATGCATGAATCAGGGGACTCCTATGAAATGTGCTATTTCAATATATAATCTTATTTCATTTTCCTGCATGCTGTCAGTTGGGGTTCCAGTCTTGGGTAATAACTTGAGGAAAAACCACTAAAGACATAATTCAGACACTGTGAAAATGTTTGCACTTAATTAACAATAAAAGTGTATCTGTGATTTCTGTTATGTTTTATTGTTCGCTCCCTTCTCCATTCTTCAAACAGCAGAGATAAACATTATTAAAACATCCCGTGCCCTTGACGAGTTGGGTGCTATCATACTTTGTTCTAAGTATCCAGCTGCTTCTGCAGTACAGCTCTGTCCGTAAACAACATTTTTAGGATAAAACGCTTTATCTCGGTAACTTTCCATTACACTTGTTTCATGCTTTTTTTTCCCCCGTTTTTAATGCACTTCCTTATGCTTTGTGTGTCTTTGAGGATTTTAAACGCTTCTACCAGGTCCCCTAGTAATCCTATTTATTCAAGACTAAAAAAAGCTCAGTTACTTTGGCCTGTCAGAGTAGGATATTCTCTTAAACCCCAGACTGAATCGGAGCAGCATTATCTTTTTGGTCACCAAAATTGTATAGAGTATTCTTACATGATTTAAACATAACATCCCTTGTTTAAATTATACTTATACTGTATGTAGTATTTGCCTTATTAATTGCTTCCTCACATTGTGTGGAGGATGTAATTGATGTTATGAGTCATTGTAAAGTCTTTCATATTTACCTTCTAGCTCATCATTTCCCATTTTGCATTTTCACAGTTTTTATGACCTGTATGCACTTGTCAACATTAAATGCCAGGTGTTCTGTTTCATCTACAGTACATCTCTTTGTAATTTGCTGCATCTATTTCTATTAGTGTTACTAACACTTCTCAAATCGTATCATTTGCAAATCCACATAGTTTACTAGCTTCACTAGAATTTATCTCCATTCTTCCATTCACATTGAGCACAAACACATACAAACATCACGGCCAGGTTTTCCCAGGTGTCAGTTAACCTACCAGTGTAGTGGGAGCAAACCAAAACACCCAGGGAAAACCAGCATGAAGGCAGGGAGATCATACAATCTCCAGACAGGTAGGACTCCAGGAATTGAGCACTGGACAGATTAATAGCAATGTTAATCTATATCATTGATAATATATTAAGAAGGTCAGTCATCCTAGTAATTAGTTAAATCTAAACATCACTTCAATTTGAGTATTCACCCCTTCTTCATAACTAATCTTTACTAGCCAGTTCTCAGTCCAACCACTCGTGTGTCCCTCAACGCCTGCAATTTGTGAATTAATCATTTATGATGAACTTGATCAAAATCCTTCTGAAATTTTTAATTTAAATACACCATAATCATTTGACCTCCGTGCATGCATTACAGCTTGTCCAAAGACTTTTAAATTGGTTAGACAAGACTTACATATTCAAAATCCATGTAGACTATTTTCATATACAGTAAGTGATCCTCCCATTCTAAGTTTTTCCATAACTTTATGTATGGAAGTCAGCTTATAATTACTTGGCACCACATTGCCAGTCCCTAGGTACTACCCCTTTCAAAGAGTTTTGTCAACAACTTCTGAAAAACATCTGTTGTTGCCTTGGATCCAATTGGTAGCATACCCCTGGACTGTGAGATTTATTAATCTTGAGTTCTCCTAGTACCAAGATCATTTCTGTAATAATCAGTATTGGCATCGAAGAGACAGAACTTTAAAAAGCATATGGGTAATTTTGATTTGTAACTGGAATCTGAATATTTTTTGTGATGCTTTGGATGAATCCCCAGATTTTGATAAAACCAGAACCCATTATGGGAGGCTGTGGCAACCCAGAGCCCTAACGGAAGTACCGGGCTCAAGACAGGACTGAAAGCATGACTGCTGTCATCTGGGCAGGAGTCTATAACAGGCATCCATAGAAAGTGACTATTCAGAAAAGCCAATCATGCCTTGCCAGCATGTCCAGTTTCCTCTTGCCCACAGAACAGGCCAAGAAAACTCAAAAGCATAGATTACATACAAACGTCACACAGAGGAGGGGGTCCAGACAGGAATACAGCCCAGGACTCAAAAACAAGGCAAACAAGGCAGCAGCACTAAACACCACACAACTAATCTTAAAGCAAGCCATGCAGGAAGCTTTAGAAACATGCTTATTGAGATAGCAGCTTTTGTGTTGTTTTCAAATGTCACCATTCATTTTTTTATTCCAGAGGAATAGAAATAGATACATTTCTAATAATAATAATAATAATAATAATAATAATAATAATAATAATAATAATCTTTATTTTATATAGCACACAAGATAAGTCAATCTGTTTGACATAAACAGAGAAGGTAAACATTTAATAGTATCAAACATGCAAACATTCAAGAATTTGAATCCTACAGGGGATTATGATATCAGGGTTGTTTGTTACTAAAGTCAAGCTTCTTTAAGCTTCATCCTCTAATATGGAAACCAGCCACTCTACCTGAGACTGTTATGAGGCTTTTAGTCACAATCCTGCAGAAGCATGCAGTTTCTTAACTGCCACAACAAAGTATTTAAAGATGAGTTTTAAGGAGGAGGATTCTGTCTAAAGGTTTGTGTTGCAATTCCACTAACGAACATAGATTATCTTAAGGAAGAGGAGGAGAACAATACTCTTTTCACTACAAATCCTTTTCTGATCTTCAGGCTTTTGACCAAAAGAATGCTTACCCAATGTCACATAGGCTTTTCAGTGTCTCAAAACTCAAACAAAAGATGCTGAGCTGTTGTATGCAATACAATTTATATGTCTGAATGCAGATTGATTTAAATGAATAACACCTGTACCAAATACACCTAAGCAAAGCATTCTATTGGCCACCAGTTTCACTTATTACTAATTGGAAAATGTAGTTCATGCCACCTCTATTAAACAAGTTTTATTTATAACCATTAAATAATCAATTCCTAAATAGTTGGAACCTGGAGCTGTGGCCAGTTATAATGTTTAGAGATAATTTATAGGGATAAATTCCATTTTGTATAAATAATTTAGATACCCTTCAGTTCTGAAGGAAAAGAGCTCCCTTTATTGAACAGATTTCTTGCTTATTAACCTACAAGTGTTCCTAATCTTCAAAAAAAAAAGGTGATGTAGGGTGACCATTAAGACCAGCTAGATTGTGGTATTAAAATACCTAATACATTTCTGTATATGTATATCTGTTGTGATAAAAAATGCCATTGGCTATAAATCATTGGAGTACCAAACCTGTTTCTCAAACTCCAGGTCCTCCTAAGGGATTCCCAAGCTTATTGACAGGCTCTCCTTCTTTGTGATCAGGGGGACATACCCAGCAAGGCACATCATGAGGTACGCAAATCACCATAATGAACTCCTTAGTGATTCTTCAAGGCTCTCATATATAACTAAATTTCCCACCCTGTCAAAGAGTGTAAGCTCAATAGCTCTGTGACATAATAATGTAACAATGCTGTTCATGATTAGGTAAGAATGTGGATGTGCCTATAAACTGAGAGGCTTATTCAAGAGCTCAGCTCCTGCTTCACACTGAAAACCAGCCTAGTACCTTTGGCCCTGGGGACTCCACACCAATCCAACTGCCTACCTCACATTTTAGATCAGCTGGCAGCTCTGCCCCTTGCTTAAACCAGATCTGCACAGCATGTGGCCTTAGGTTCAAGAATATGACTATGCATATTAAGTCAACTTTGTCTGTGAAGATAATACAACGTATAAGTGCTGTACAACTAGCACAGAGATCTGACAACACAAAGCTCAGGTTAAGACGGGGGAGGCAATTCTTCTCAATCGCCCTGTTCCAGATAACATTGTTACCCACCGTGTGTTGAAGTTCCTCAGCAGAACAGCAGAGTTATTGTATGAGCCCAGGTCTTCAGGAAGGCAGATAAGCAGAAACACTCAGAGGTTTCCTCTCTGAAAGCTAGAGTTTTACAATCAATCCAGGGGCTTGACAGTATCTCCACAGCTGCCCAGGTTCACTTCTGTATGGAACTCCATGCTAGAAAAGAGGCCACCCTTGATTTAGAAGTATGATTTCAGAGCCAATGCTATACAGTATGTGGTGGTGGTGACTGACATACACTGACATATCTAGTCAGTGTATTTCCAACTCTTCAATCAAGCTCAGCTCCTACACCTGCAGAGAAGTGACAATCCATGTCCCAACAGCCAGCCTTTGTTGTCCAGTCTATCATGATCCATCCCTCTTGCTGCAGCTATGATATTGCCCCTCCCTTCACCCTTCACTTTGCAGGAGTATGCTCACATGATGACTTAATGCAGCTGTTTTGGGCTGAGCCCAGCTGTTATATGAGGGACCTGGTTACCAGCTAACACTAAAATCAGGTCCAGCTCCAGGGGTGCATCCCTGTATCATGTGCCACGTGTGATTTTTCTGGCTGTGCTTGGGACGTCATCTCATACAATACTTGTTTGCCAAGGGACACCCTACCAGGACCACTATGACCCAGACAATTTAGGTATATACTGTATACCTCCAGCACTACAAGGTAACAAACCTCAAGAGTGTCAATAACATTAACATTAAAATGTATCAAAATTGATTCTTTAAGTAAACTCTTAAATTATTAAAAGGAGGTTGAGATACGAAAAACATATGTGGTCACAGTATAATAAAGCAGGCTACTGATTTTGGAACAATATAAAATTCTAAATTAATGGCTATACCAAATGCCCTGTTTTAGGGTACCTGCACCCTATCTGCTGTAACGCAAATACTGTATGGCTGCCAACCTTTTAGTCAATAAACCATAAATAAAGCTGTATAAACAGTGAGAAATTATACAGTCCGAGCACAAGCTGGGCCGACACTATTGTAAAAATCTTCCCAATCTGACTTTATCCTCAGTGGATTCCCCTGTAAATCTAATTTTAAATGATGGGAGACTGCGCTGTACTTCTCCTTTTTATCCTTAACCTTAAGGGAAGCAAACTCTGTTTTAGCCTTTTAAACCTAATGGGACACAGTCTGTTTCTCCCTTAATCCCTCCTGGAAATATATTTTTCCTATTGAAAACAAATCCCTAAAAACGGTCTAACTCCATGACTGCTAGACACTAGACCCATGTTTGTTCCTTTTTTATAGAGAGCAATGATGGAACAAAACCGCAGCACACTGTTGCTGCCTCACACAAACGCCTACCCTTTTACTCTCCGACTGGTCTTTAGGCCACACACCTGCAGTGAATACCAATACTGATGACCAATATTTATCACCTGCAGTGAGTACCAATACTTAGTTGACTGAGAGAGACTTAGTTACAATGCAGTTACTGTCAGTTTATCATTGTCCTGTCAAAAAGGGTCAGAAACTGCTACATTTTCTGCATGAGAAGAGTCAGGTAGAAGAATTTTATTAACCTGTGACCTGCAATATCCATCTTGTCAGTCTATAGGGGTGCTTGAAAAGCTAAGGGCAGGTTATGAACTTCATGGTGTCCTCACCTGGTACACACCTAGTACTGGTCATGGAACAAGTAATAGGTTTATTCCATGCTGAAAAGAGAAGAAAGAAAACACAAAGTTTTGACTGTGGAGCCTTCTTTGGGTGTAATGTACAGGTCATGGTGAGTTTGGCTTCAAACACAATCCTGCTGACTGTGATGTGCAAGAGAATGGAGCTGTAGGGGAGCTAACCCCTAAGATGTAAAATGGAATTTAAAGCTAAATATTCTTGTTAAATAACATTGTTTATGAATTACTATTTTTTAAATCTTTATCACTTTATGGATTTTACTATTTTCCAAAGTAGGGGATCAAGTAATAATAAAGAACAGTGTAAATATTTAAGTGCATTTTGTAGAACAAAAAAAGTGCATTTTGTAGAACAAAATTAAATGCAACAATATCAATTGAAAAAGATCACACTGAAGTAGATAAAAACAGTAAATACATGCACATACACAAAAGGTACTTCCCTGGGGTTAGGTATTACTTACAAAAGGCAGATCTTGGGATTTAAATGTCTGGGATGAGTTTAATCACACTAATTAGAAGATATTGTCTTGCCTTCCTTTTAAATTAGAATACAACAGCATGAATAGAAAAACAGAAACAGGCTTTTAACAATAAAGTGACATTTTTATTTGTACAATAAAGAGACTTTCGTACATTATTCAAAACACTTCTTAAATACTGAAAAATGTGTACTTCCAAAGCCGAAAATGGCTCTGTTATACGCTGCGCAGCGTTTTGTTCATTTTTATTTTTTTTATTAAAATTTATTTTAAATATATACAGATAGCATCTGCAAAATGCATTCTAGACACATAATATATACTTTACCAATTACATATCTTCGTGTCAATACAGAAATAAAACTGGAAGGATTAAACTTGCATGTGCAAATCAATAAACAGGATAATAAACTCTCACTAAATCTGTCCAACTAAACTGAATAATTTTGTTTTTTTGTTAAAATTACATTTTGCACAGAAAATGAAGCAGCATTCAAGTCAAGTAAGTCTTCATACTGCAGAAGCTTGGAATACATTCACAATCTATAGGAATAAATTATTTAAATGTGTCTTCATTCACAATTATTTACATCAATACTGCAATTAGACTGAAAATTACCGTATATTAGCTTTCTTATATAGAGCTGTATTTTAAACACATACAAAAATGACATTTTTATATTCATATACATATATATATTTGTATAACACAAATCCACAATTACTGTAGAAATAATTATACATGTCAGATACTACAGCTTTCCTTCTGTGTCCTGAAGACATTTCCATCCACTGTTGTAGTGTTTATAAAATTTCACAATTTGAGCAAAGCTAAGTATACCAATATATTAGAAAGAATTTACCTGAAAACATTAAGTAGAAAAAAAATGTTTATCAAAGCTTTCTATAGTTATGTTACATTTTTTCGTCTTACTATTGTAATTTACTTCTTATCCAAACTTCAGTTTGGTCAATGGCACCATAGTACCTTGTACCTAATGTACCTAGCTAAGCTAGACACAGATTTTTCCAAGGCCTTTTTATAGGGCTAGAGCTTATTAGTGCTTAGTTTTGCTCAAAAAATGTCACATAAAATGCTACATTTGTTTACGTAAAAAAAGTAATATAGGTTTCTCCAGGGCTCTTTGTTCATACACCTTTGATAGAGATTATATGGCACCAATTGTCACTATACTGATCTTTCTTTGCATATTGAAGACCTCTTTATTATTCAAGTTTGAAAGAAAAAATTAATGAAAAGCACATTTAAGTGTATCCATTTAAAAACACAAAAGAACTGTTTAAATTGTTGAATGTATCCTAAGACAAGTATAAAACCTAGTGAAAGCATGCATTAAAACCTGTGGCTAGAGAATTGCCTCAGTAAGGTAATGATTTTAAACACCTGTCTATTGGGGTTTTTTAAAGCTAACTTAATTTCTTGGGAAGTCCTTATAGCAGTACAAACATGACTCTAGCATGACTGTGCTGGTATCGCAGACAAATGATGGCTCCCCAGGCCTCTGACCTTCATGAGCACTTACTGTATGTCTAAGGTGAACCAAAGTGAAAGAACACAAATTTTGTTCCAAATACTTAAAGCAGAATCTTGCGTCAAATTTACAGAACAGTTTTTAGATAGACGCACCCATTTTCTCCAGACTCTATACTTCCCACACTATTCCAGAGACATCATTATCATAAAACCTGAAAACCTTGTTAATGTGAAGCAGAAGGAAAAAACCCATACAGCAATGCTATCTCAGTTTATTTGAAAATGCCTTGGTTCCTGGAGATATGGTATTAAAATTTAGACAAACTTTGAAACCACCTGTAGAAAATAGGTGGTATAGTCGATGCGTCAGAGCCATCTGTCTGTGAGGCTGACATACAGTATTGTCACTGAAAGAAGTCACTGGCTCAAGCTGTGATCTGTACTCTGGCACCTTGTACAGTACATGAAGAACTTTAAATGGAGGATCACTTGCCTTCAGTGCTCAACTCTCAAAGACCCTTCCTGTGTGCAGGAGGTTGCCCAGGTGCCAGAAAGAAACATGTGGAGGAAAAGAACTTGTTAAGGGGTATACTGTAGATTGTACCACAAGGCACTTATCACCAATTAAAAATGTTGTTACTGCTGCTGCTTTTAAAATCAAGAGTACAGGGCAGGTAAAGTTATTATGGTAAGAGATGGTCACTCATACAGGGATTTCTACTGCACTCTTATACAGGACTGTCCATTAGAAAACTTTTAGGGCATCTGTGTGTGTCCTTTTTCTTATGCATTTCAGGAAAATATTTCAAATATACAATATCTTGCTTCTAACTACTGTTTCTGAGGTTTTCACCAGAGATGGTGTTTTGGTTAACAGCTCTTTGACGTAAATGTGTTGCGTATTATGAAAAATGACACATCCTTCACATCCTCATACTACAAATGAGTAATGCTGAGTGCTGGGTAACTACTGTTCACCCCATGGCTGCCTCCTCTTGGTCCCTAGTGTAGATTAGAGCTTTGTTTTAAATGTTGGCATCCAGGGGAAAATGTCATTGCTAAGTTCTGGAAGTTAGGAGACTAAAGGAAGGGTGGAAGTTAGGAAAAAGGCACTACCCAATCAAAACACCTAGGTAGTATAAGAGATCTTTCAACATTCAGGACAACAGATTTTGTTTAACATTTTCTTAACAAGCTGGAGAGCCCAATTATACAAAAATGAATTGAAACAGAAATGAATGAATGAAAAAAGCTGGGATGATGTGTGGTGTGGTTAGGCTTTTTCTTTGATAATACTGCTTCCTCTATGTGTGGCGAATGGCACATTTATGAACATGGGGGAAAGAGTAAATGAGGCAACACAGAAAAATGCAAGAACACTGTAAAGTGCACCTGTTCTACTGGGGGATTAAGATTTCCATTTCTGAAAACTATTCAACAGTAATTTGGAGTTAATTCTTAACAGATCAGTTTTCAATAAACGTTGAAATCCACCTTGCAGAAAAATAATAATCTATTTCCATAACAATGAAGTGTACAGTATAGTCTTAAATTTATGTATGTGTTTTTCTCACTTTTAGGAGAGTTTGAATTTTGTATTTGTTAATGTAGCATACTGGCCACTGACATAAGTATGTGCACAATATAATAACTGCCGAATAGTTCAACAAGTATCACAGAAACGAAAAATAAAAATCCGAAGTTACAATTAGTAATAAGAAAGCTTGTTTTTGTTGTTTTAGAGCCTGGTATATTCCTTTCTCTAGGACAATGCAAGGTTAGTATATTGAGGTTAAACATACACTTCATTTATATAACTTTAGAAAGAGGGAGGAGATGTCTTTTTAAAGGATCTTTTTATTTCCTTCTTGCACTGTTTGTGTCAGACAGGACTCGTAAACCCAAGCAGCAGCTAGAAGTCTCCATGGCACCTCTGCAGACCTGCACAGAGGATGTTCTTTATACATAGAGCACTGATATTCCTGTTCCTGTAGGGCTTTCTGGTTTCCTTCCCACCCTGGACTCTTTGTGACTTTATTCATAATCAGTGGTACTAAACTTTGTCTTTAAATTATCTGCTTGCTTGTTTAGGCCCATTATTTCTGCAATCTGTCCTTGATCTACAATATACCTGCCTTCAAGTAAATTAATTCCAACAGTTTCAGCTTGCAGAGCAATATAGAGTCTCTCCTCTTATTAAGAATATGCTCCCTTATTGCTATCTTTCTGATCAGTTTAGGACAGACAGAGAGGAGTATCAAACACCCCCACAATGGAAGTTTTAAATTTCAGATAACAAACATGAATAAAAGGAGCTCTGAAACTTATAATCTGGAACATAGTTGTTAATTTTAAAATCCTGTTCAACTAAGTGCTGAAACTAGGTTCAATAATATGTCTTGTATAGAAAACGGTAATTAATTAGCCTGCAACTAAGAACTTGTCCTAAAAAAAAGACAGGACTCATAGGGTCATAAATAGATACACAGGTTTGGGAAGGACTGGTCTATATTATCAGTGTTTCCAGGTCCTGCAGGAAATTCCCTATAACTCTTGATGCACTGAAGCTCTTCAGGAGTACAAGTGACTATCACGGATGTTAAGGAAGAACAATGTGGAGATGTGCCACTCTTATCCTGCAGATGGCACTGTTACACAGTCTAACTTGTGGCAAATATGGAACTCTTACGACACTCAAAGCAGATATTCATCAACATTAAACCCATTTTTTAAAATAATTTTAAATGTATATCAAAAGGCAAACCAAAAGAGGGGGTAAAATATATACATATATATTAATATCCAAAAGGGTATTTTTGATTATTTTTTAAATCTTTTAAGATATCCTAGAGGGTTTCCGTGGGGCATCTATAAATTTTATATATTTAAGAAAATAGCATAATACTTTTCTATGTCTTTCTTCATACAGCTCTCTTATACTCCTGTTTTGTAAGTTATAAGTAAATATATATTTACAAAAGGCATATACAAAGTTGAGGCAGTGCTTATGGTGAATGTAATTCCTAAACAGCTTGTGTGCTTTCGTGCTCTCAAATCTAAATGAAACCCTACTTAGAAAAAAAATACATAAAAATGTTTTTAAAAAATTAAAAGCCAAAAGAAAAAAAATTGCACCAATCCACAGCCTCAGGCTGATAGATATAACTGAATTCAATCACATTTACATTAAATTTGAAACCTTGTGTTCTTTATATCCATTTGTAACACTATTAGATATGTATCCTAATATACATTTGGCACTAGTATTTGCCATTGGTCCAGCAATTGGCAAATGTTGTTCCTAGATAAAAATGAGTTTTGATAACTTGGATATAATTTTAAATGTCCCTTCCATGTGAAAAGTAATGCTGCGATAAAAAATATTTAGGCTGTGTTCTCTCTCAAGATTACCAAGTCCACAGTTTTCTGGAAACTCTTCAGTAAAGACACAGCCCTTTCATGTTCCATGTGCAAAAAACTATGTCCGTTGGCCTGCAATGCAAGAATGAAGCACACATCAATAACTGCAGCACTGGAAAACAGATCATGCCAGCAAAGGGATTCAGGAGCAGGCCGAACTCAGCAGAGTTAAGAAGATACAATGTTGTCAAGGAGGAGAAAAAATGAAAAAGACACACAGTAAGACAGTACATGCTGTAAAGGAGAAAGGGGGAAAGAAGCTGGTTTTTAGAGGTCTTTTCCTCAGCTAACTCTGTATCTGTGGAGAGAGCAAATAAGTTTCTTTGTCTGACGGCTGTGGAGTGGGTGTCTGCTTCTAATTTCGCACATTTAAAGCAACACAAAGCCTAGACAAGCCAATAACACAGGGGAGAGCTGTACTCCCTGCATGTTATTATGGCACAGTGAGCTACAGAAGTTCCATGAAGACTGCACTGCCAGCTGTCCAGTTTGACTGCTAAGGTTGTCATCAGGTGTCTGGACTGCAGTTTTACATTACACTAACAGTCCTGGGAATTCAGCAGCTTCAGTAAACTTCAGATGTGTACGATACATAGCAGAAATGTAGATTTCACATAAAGGCACATTCATATCCCTTTTCATATCCATATTGAGGATATATAAATAAGTAGTGTATTCTGACAAAACAAAGTTTGGAAACAACAAAGTATGCGCAAGATCTATGAGTTGGGGGTGGTCATTATTTTTCCACACACCCTGTCAAAATATAATGGGATACACCACCTTTTGTGCTATATGTTCATATTCTGAGCTGCTTGCAGATTGAGATTAACACTTTGAATACAGTATGTTGATTGAGAACGTTCTTGGTTCTGGATTGCTCTGTCCTTTTGAGAAGGAGGGATGTGACTGAGTGAAATGAGCAATCCAGTGCACACCTACACACCTTCTGAGTCATTTGTTGTTTCTAAACATTGATATGATAGGGAATACATGCAATTCTTCTTCTTCATGTATTTAACTATTTAGCTCAAAAGAGTTAGAAAACATGAGAACTAAATTCTTCAGCTGAAATTTGCTCCACTAAGGGTCCTGCACATGATTGCTCTCATGGTGAAAACACAAAAACACAAGTGACAAAGAAGCCTGTGAGATGCAGAACAATAGGCTAAGGTTAGTTGTAAGACCAGGTGAATCTCTTTTATAGCCATACATTATGCAATTGCCAGATGAATCGCTAAAAAACATTTTGAAAGGCATTTATGTGGTCATTTCCCAATGTCTGTCATTTTTATCAAATTTGTTATGGCTGTAACCTTGACAAAGCCTGGTCTTGCAAAGATACTGTACTGTAGTTTGTGGACAGCTGCCCCAAGGAAACGCTACATTTATTAAAAGCAGAACTGAAGGTGAATAACAATACAATATGGGCCCATCTAATACAACAAAGCACAACATGCACATCTGGAGAACAAAGACAGCTGCATGCAAAGCTTCTACTGGCAATGTGGTGTAAAGGACCATCTGGGAGACTTGGTAGACAATGTGTTATGATGGGAAACATGGTTACCTTTAGGATTTTATCTCCAGGTTGAAGCACGTTGGAGGCAGGTCCGTCAGGCTGTACCCTAGTAACAAAGATACCCTATAAGTCAAAAGTGATATGAGGTTAGGAACCAGATGGTAAAGATTGTTTTAGAATCTTTGCCTTTCAGTCTGGATCTTTGTTGTAAAAGTGTAACTGATTGCTGCTGGCTAGCTACTGTATATTGCAGGTTGTATACTGAAAAACTAACACAAATAGGTGAGCTCATTGAACAACTAGAATGTGTACTGATACCTGATAAAATTTAATAAACTCTGTTCCCTAGAAAGAACAGAAAAATGAACTCAATCACATTTATAGGGAGACAGTTTCATTGTGCAATTAGTATGAGTCTTGGTATGGCACTTTTTTTATTTGCTGCTATTGTTTGATTTATGTGGCACTCTGGTATGTTTAAGTACCAAAATAAGATGAGAAATTAGCATTAGTTAAAAGTGTCTTTAATGACTCAAGTAAGCTTATTGATAGTCTCAAGGCAGAAATTATAAGTGCAACAATCCTTGCAACTATTTGTGATTACACAGTAATCTAATATAAATCTTCAAGCACACCCCAGTCAATAGAAAACATTAAACATAAATTTGCTTTTAGGTAATTTATATCTCAGTTTTTCTCTTATTTCATGTACAGTATTTGCTTGGAGCATGTCTTTCTAAATGGACTGTGCACAATTCTCTCTTATTCAGTGCTCAATTTCTCTTTGCCAGCATTAACAAGTTAAGAATTTGAAGAAGGTTCTAAAATAGGGCGCCAATTGATACATGTAAAATGATCAGATTAGAAATAGCTTTAGAGAATATCCAGTACCTTGCAAAAGAATTAGGAACCTTAATATGGTATTTCAATTTGTGAAATTATAAAATACATACACATTTCCTTAACTTAATATTTTATATAAAACTTGAAACTGACAATTTCCAAATTCCAGTCCATTTTAGGGAAAAAATTAAAGAAAAAAACAAAAGTTGATTGCAAAAGACCTGTGAACAATATTTGGTAGAAGCACCTTTGACAGCAATTATAGCACAAATGCTCTTGTGTAAGTCTTTGCCAGTTGTTCATTAAAGTCGCTGACTTTATGTCTCAGTTTTGGGTCCTCAGCAGGTGTTTCTCCACGATTTAACTGTAATTAGTTCTATGTTCCATGTCTTGATAAGCTTCGCAATCCATGCTGATGAAAAGTACATCCACAACATAATGATTCCACCACCATGTTTGATAGGAGGGGCAGTCCTGACTTAGTGATGTACTATGTTTGTGTCAGATATAATGCTTTACATTCAGACCAAAATGTTTCAGTTTTGTCCTGTTTGACCTTTTGTCAGATATTTGCAAGTATCACTCAGCTGCTTTGCTGCACACCTCATGTGGAATTTAAGATGGGTTATTTTATCATGTCAAATACATGTCCTCTATGTGGAGGGAGCAGGTTATTGTTCATCCATGGACAACATGGTTTTCCCATGTTCTTCAGTTTCTTTAGTCACTGAACTGAAAGTAACTGAAAGTACTCAAAGTAAGCCTAACCAGTTTCCTGTTTGTCCAGCTACTCAGTTTGGGGGAACAGCCTAATCAAGGCAGTGTCAGCATGCTGAAAGAGATATTATAGGTCTTTGAAATGTATTTATACCCTTCTCCTACTCCTTGCATTTACAAAACTTTGACCTTGAGTTGCTTTGAGTTGGTCCATGGTCTTAATGTTTGAATCTTTGCTTGAAATTCACAAACTGAGAGAACGTACAGAGGTAGGTATATTTATTCTGATATTATATGAACCAAACTGAGGCCACTTGACTAATTATGTCACTTGTTAAGGTAATTTTGTGCACCTAAATTCATTTTGTTTTGCCACAGCAAAGGGTTTGAACTTACACAACCTTAATTTTTACACTGTTCTTTCATTTTATATAATTACTTAGCACTTTTATTTTACTTCTTTACTAATATATTATTTTTGTGCTATTTCTTGTGTACATAAATATTATTGCTACTTCAGTGTCGTGAAAACCAGAATTACAGCAACAAAATGTGAAAATTGTGCAAAGGTGTGAATTCTTTTGCAAGGCACTATATGAATTATATTAAACAAATGGCATATGGGAGAAATGCAATACATTATCCAAATCAAAGTACAATTTCCATACGTTAAATAACTCCTTAAAAAATGCTACATATTTCATTTAGATTTCTATTTAGGTCATACATTTTGCTAAGCCAATTCTGGGAACATTACTACTTGGTAAGAAACATTTTTGCCAAATTACATTATATATATATATAATACCTCTTTAAAAAATCAGAATAGAAGACAGTACAGTCTACCATTACATTACATGATTTGTTAATAAATATCTAGAATAAACAGGTGAAAACTGCTAAGGAGATGACTAAACAGAGCTTTTTGATCCAGTGAAAGATTTAATGAAAATTCGAAATCTGTGTAACCCAAAAACACTCTTTATGTTGTCCCATTTACAGATTTTACAGAAATCGGGAGAAGTGTTTGCTGCACAGCCATGAAGTTTTACAAATCCACATTCACTATTCTTTGTAATAAAAACAATCTGAGCATGGGCATGTGTGCACAAGAACAAAATTCAGTCGCAGCTTGTGCTGTTGAGGGCTGAATGAGAACGGCTCTTGAGACAGTGGTGAACCAGTTCTGTTTCAAAGTCACCTTGCTGTGCCCCCCAGGGGCTGCACGGCTCTCAGTCAGTGTTTTCCAGAGATATGCTCGCATAATCCTGTGCTACCAGATGGCAACACAGTAGGCTGTATGGTTTGCACACCTTTTCTTTCATTCTTAAACTTTCTTCTGTACCAGTTCTGTATTTTCCTAAAGTAGGCTGTTTCGAAACGGTCTGAGTAAACATGGAATGCCCATTGTTTCCCAGAGGATTTCAGAAACATTCAACTCCCCTATGTAAAGGAACGGTTCTTTTGGCATTGCAATTCAGCTTGGAGTTTGTGCCTCAGAGCAGTGGTCATATGTATTTTGTTTAGAGTTTTTAATCATATGTGATAATTACTTTTTAATTGATCTGATTGCTTTTTTAGACTTTTGCTTGCCCTTTTGTTTACTCAGTCTTTATTAAAAAAAATATTAACAATTTTTTATATCGAGCACATTAATCCAACAATTAAACTTGCAGACCTTCATGCAGTCTCTCCTTATTCTCTTCAAATTTAACAGGAGTTGTCTGTCTTATTTCTGTACAAACAGCTCTTAATATGTGATCAGTTTACACAGGTGTGAATAGAATACTCCAGCAAAGAGCAGTTGTGGATCCACTATTTCAGGGAACATACAGTACTTAAATGGTGGCAGTTCTGAATCTCAGAAATTGGTTCAGGGTTGATGCCAATTACAAATTCCATTCAGGTTTTTAAGAAAACAAAAAAGACAGCTGAAAACACTCTTCAAAATACATCTTGAAAAGAAAATGGAAACCAATTAGCCTGTGACCAAGAACAAACCCAGCCAATACAGGTCTTCCTCATGACTACTGTTGGGAATTTCTCACTTGGAAGGGGATTTTAATCTAGGGATTGACTGTACACTACATACTGCAGTGATTCCATGACCCTAATCGGCTGATAAAGGGTAGAAAGATTGCAAAAAAAGCTGTTTTTTTCTGGATTCTGCATGCCAAAGATGTAATATACACAATGTACCACCCACTGAGTTCCTGTCAGATCCAAACATTCTTTAATAGCTATAAAGCATTTGAGAAGCATGTAAAGCATAAACTAGCTCCTGTACAGGCAGACAGACTATGAATCTTGTGATAATAATGAGATGCAGAATAATGGCCCTATAGCCTGTAATTTTAAACCTTTTTTTAGTGACTTTCTTGGTCAGGTGATAGGCAGGAAGACAAACACATATCTAAAGTGGCAAGAGCACTACTATGCACTGCACAATATCAAACATGTGGCTGGATGCACTGGAGTCTCTCCTGTAAAGGGTAGACACTAAAGACAAGGATGCTGAGGTACTGCCTCTCTCTTGTCAGTATATCAGTATAAAGCCTCTGCGACTCATATTTCCATTAGAAAACAATGGGACAGATGCAAACTCATAAACATGCCTTGATATGTCTTGTTTTGTATGTTATGAAGGATTATAGGATGTTAAAAAAAATAAAGCAAAGCAAAATTTTTGGAGTCCTTTGTTTTATGGACTTAAATGACATACTGAACAGCACAGTCCCTAACAAAACCAGCTCTGTGCTAGTTCCTTTACTGTCTTGTGGGTTATTAAAAAGAAAAGCAACCCAGCAGAGAATAAACATGAATATTCAATATTGAAAAAGGACAAAAATAGTTCTGGTACTAAAGTTTCTAATCTTAAAGACAGGAGAACTAGAGTATTCCACTGGGTTATATAAGGTATAATTGCTTAAACAATTTTTGCTCACATAAAAACACGGAGATTTAAGTTTCACACAATACCCAGTATTTACAAATTCAGATTGAAAATGTGAAGGAATAAATACTATGGTATAGAGCAGTAACAAATTACACTGAGCACACCAAGACATATTGTACCTATCCATAAAAGATTATATAAACATCAGCCTTCTCATTAGTATCTGTGTCCAGTCCAGAAAGAATCAGCAAGCCAAGCTCCTCATAGTGATGTATTTGTGTCTGCTCCACTTTGTTGGTTGGTATTTTGTAAAGGCTGCTCTTTTCTTCATCAGCCAGGACTCTGAACATTTTCTAATAATAACCCAGTAAATATTTGCATATACGCAGAAATAAAAGGTCAGTAAATATATAGCTGCAAATATGCTCACAGTTACTGGACACTGATGTTGATCTCCACGAACATTATCTCCATGTATCCAATGTTCCTAATATTATTACGGGTTGTAGATCTGTATGCTTTTCATCTCACAATACTTCTGACAGAGCAAAGGAAAGATTAAGCAGCATGTATCTTCATCTGAGGGAAGCACACAGAGAGGTTAGAGAGCTGCAGAGATTCTGATCACAATTCCCAGAAAAGTGCCACATACTGTATGAACAGAAAA